ACCAAACTGTAGAACTTTTTACAAATTACTACACCCCTCAGTCAGTGTGCTACAAACCATGTGTACAGATAAAACTTTTCAGGATAAAGTAACTACGGTAATTACTTACGGACGCAGCATTTTCAGGCAATCTTGCAGCAGACTAAGCCCATCGCAATCAATTTGATCAATGCAATACAAATTCTGATTTCCACACAATAGAAACGTCTAAACCCATTATAGTTACTACAAGGAGTTACTGACAATAACACAGCCTCACTACATGTAGCCTACTTGCATAGTAGGCTAAATGAACAAAAGTTAAGACATTTTCGGATACAAACCGTATATTCAATTTATAAACATACATGGGTTTAAAATCAGAAATCATCGAGGTTGATGACGTTGTAGATCACCATTTCTATTTGACGTATCCAAGCATCTCTGCCACATGTCCAGGCCAAACCACGCATGGCCAAGGTCAACAAGATGGGTATCTTGAAAGCATTCAATGTGAGAGGACTCACCATGAAGCAGAATACTTTTCCTATGGTTGTCTCATACATAATACACAATTCTTCAAAAATTACCTCAAACGGCCAAAAGGTAGAATGCTATCAACTTTTTCTATGATTTTTTAAACACTAGTAATTAGTTACTAGGGAAACCTGTGAGATTTTGCAGGAAAATAAGATGCTAAATTCTTTTGGTATAAACAGATCCTTCCATGTTGTAAAGTGATAGATAAAAGTTAAGTAATACAAACATAAAGATAAAATTCACTGCTTACGAATTTTCTTTCAAAATTAAATTGTTTTATGGGTTTTATATTCGCAGGTTTTGAAGGTTCTAGAAAAAACCTTTGTAAATGGTTTTTTGCATACTATATTTTTAACATATGCAGATTATTAAAAAATAATGAATCAATGGATGACATGGTGTCCTTGCCAAAGTTAAAAACCAAAGTCGGTATAATTTCTACTTTGCATATGGCGCCCGAAAAATCTAATTGCTTTTCTTACAAATAAAATAGAAAAAATATCTGGCCCCCTAAAATTACTCTAAATATCAAACCATTAAAGGGAAATCAACCAAGTTTTTAGGCTTGATAATTGATGAACATCTAATAATTCAGGTGTCTTTGTTTTGAGATCAATGTTCTATCTTTGCGAGAAAAAAAGTGTTGAAAGTATTTTACCTCTCCCTTATAGAATGTCATATTGGTATGCATTCCAAGCTTGTAATGATTAGTATTGATAAGAACATACTGTAGTTAGTTGTATCTAAGGGAGTATGTTTTATCTATGGTTGTATCCTGTGTGTCCATGAAACTTGTAAAGTCTTTAAAATTAATTCAAAACAACTTGACTGGCGTACGACATTAGATTTTTTTTATTTATTTACCTTACACTTTTTGACATTCCATATTAAGTTATATCGCCACTCGAGTCAAGCACAGACCTAGCCTATGTTAATGTTTTCCTAGGTTATATTAAGTATTTTAAATTTTAGTTCTCTTTATTTATATTGTTTGCAAATTTGTTTATCTAGATGATTGCTGTATTATATATAAGTAAAAAAGGACAATTAACTATAAACATTGACTATTAGCTCTCACCAACTTCGACGATTTTGAAAGAGAAATCTAGCAACAAATTTAACATGGGGATGGAATGTCTAGTTGCATTAATAGTCAAAGCTATAACTAATTAAATGGGAAATACAAATTATTTTACATAACTTAATTTAATTCCGCTCCCAACCAAACTACAAGTCATTCAAACCAAAGTTTTAATTAGTTAACAACTTGTACAGGAGTCTATGTTGAAAGCCTGCACCTGCATACATTACTCTCTTTGCTGCACCTATTGATCTAGCCTAGCTTTGTTGTGCAGTAATCACTGGACTTTGTGTGTTCGTAAACCATCACTTTGGTTGATTAGAAATACTTAGAAGCGCGTACAAAAGTGTAAAAGTATGTTAGAGTTAAACAGTACTCCTAGTGGAAGTGGACGTACTATCGTAACGAGACCGTAATGGACCTGAGAAAAGCAAAAGTCATCGAAAAACACAAAAGTCACCAAACTCTCTTAACTACCCTAAAAAGTCTTCTCTTTTCTCATAAGCAATGTATCTGTAAAGCAAAACTTATGTATAAAAGTAGTTTAAAAGGTTGGTACCGAACCCTGCTGTTCTTTGAACCCCCGTCCTCAATGACACACCCCTTAGACCAAGTGCGGATTTTAGACCGGAGGGATGAGTCAGGGTGAGCTAAGTCGTATTTATTTTATTGTTTTCTGCGGCAGACGTGGCTAATGCTGAGAGATTTACGATAGCTTTTATCGAGGCAATGATTGGGCCATCCTTCCAGGGGGAGGGGGGGGGGTATAGGCCCTTCTGTGTAACGATCCAGACGACCGACAATGGACCAAGGCATGTTTGTAATGTGTTACTTGATTGAGGTGCAAAGGTAATTTTATAAAATGTTCTAAAACAAGAAAAAAATAATGGTGAAACTATTTTGGTAACCTCAATAAACAAAATTGAAGCTAACAGAACTGAAATAAATAAATACAAGCCAACTATTTGCAGCTAACTCTAAAATAGATAAACTTACATGGGTATAACAATAAAAAGTAAAGACATACTATACTATTAGCCTTCAAGCTGAAAATAAAAATATAAGTCATCTATAAACATAGAACGAGCAAATTCAAAATACTCAAAGACATTTTGATCGTTTTTACATAAGTTAAAACATTTTACTTTTGGATTACATTGATGAAAAAGACGATACTAAAGATCGTACGATACCATCCGGAATAGGTGATCGTTATCAACATAATAAAATATCTATAGAATAGACATTTTTAGATGGCCTTTTAATAAATTCAAAGTTTGTTGGTGATTTTCTATGAGATAGTATATGTCTAAGAATTTAGATATATTTAAGTTGCAGTTGTATACAAATAAGATAGCAATCATATAATCATCAAATAAATAAATTGTACATGGGTTAAATATTTTAAAGTGATAAAACTAGTTTATTTTTCGATTGTACTCCATAAATATGTAAACATTACTTACTTTTACCACACTCCAGTATTCCAATCGAACAACACAAAACGGTGTGCTTTTATTAAGCACGTAATACGTGTACGCTTGAAAATAAGTTGGCCACACTATATCTAGATGATACTACGCCTACGATCAGCTGGTGCAGCGTTTCCAGATTCGTTCAATGCTTGGATTTAACCTAACCTAAAAACGTGTTGTATAGTGTTTGAAAGACAATTGTTTATATGCTTCATTCTAACTGTAGGAAAAGTATAAAGTGTAACGCGAGTGCAAAGTATACAAAATACCACTTCGCACCCTAACTGTACTAATAACTATTTCCTATATTCGGGGGAAAATGTGCTCCACAAAAAGATGACTTATTAAAAAAATACATAGAATTTTGTTTTCAAAGAATGTTAGTTACCGTACCATTCAATGGCAAATACTATTTGAATTTAATTTTATTCTGCCACACTATGTTTTAACACTGCTTTTGAATATTTGTGTGACTGAATCTGTCCAATAACAATAATTTTAAATAATCCTTTGGTATGGAATTTCAGATTGGAAAGCGAAGGTCACGTTGTTTCAGTCCTTCATGAATGTGTAATGTTTTAATTAACTGAACTCTCCACACATTCAGGGTTTGCAGACATTGGACAACGTTTACCCTCGTAATAAAGCTATAAATATAAATAAATAAAGTAGGCCTAATAAATATTGAGTAAAGTATTATAGTATACACAATAATTGAATTTTCATTAGTAGTTATAATTTATTTAAAAAATATATAAATAAATTTTTATGCAAGAACTACTACAGTCATAGATATATACCCTGTTATATGTTTATGAGGCTTAATTAATCAAAAAAAGTTTTAATGTATTTTTATGTCCGGTTTAAGTACAGTAAAGTGCGGGTTGAATTTATAACTAAATAATTAAAATATTTTAACCAAACTAAAATATACTGAAATATTTGTAGTACCTAGAAATATTACAGATATATTTAACAATCTATTACTACTGATTCTTGCCCTCTAGCTAATATAAGAGGTGAGTTCAGATTGTAAAATCCACTTTAAACCAGAAAAGTAACTTGTAGACGTCATCAGCTCACTTAAAACGTCATAAACATGAAATCCACTTCCATAGAGGCTTCATAGTTTACATTAAAGTGGTTAGCCTACTCATTTGCATTATTCAAACTAGCTGTTACCTACGGGCTTCACCCCGTTTGACCTCATGAGTATTAATAAAACGATAAAACTATTGACTGTTTAAGTTAAGCTGAAATAAATAAAATAGAATACAGTAATACGAACAAACAATTACACCTGATTTGAATAAAGTATAGTAGTAGGCAATGGAAATTCGCTTGGTCTTCATGTTTGCTGTTGTGGGGGTATAGGGCCTCCAGTATAATATACAAGAGTGTGCCATAAGGTACGAAATTGGGTTTTCTGATTGATACATATAAAAACATACATTTTTACGCAGTCGGTTTCAATGGTCATTCGAACAATTAACAAAACTGACAACCGAGATTTTCAATCGTGGTAATATGTGTGATATAAAGTACCTGAGAGGCTCAGGTAATAATAATTTACCACATACTATTTTATTTTGACTCAAACTTAAAAACGTTCATCTTTCAACAAGTTTCTAATTGAACTTAAATTTATGATGAACATTAGTAAGACAATTAATTTATTCCGTCACAAACAACTCTATTTAAAATACTAGTCATCTGAAAGAAGACACTTAACACACACATAAGCAGGTATGTGTAAAAAATCAAATGTATTCTTTTAACATGCAGATGTATCAAACAAAAGAGACACCATTTGCCACCATGATGCGACACCATTTGAAATAACACAGGTGTATGAGACAATTCATGGTTAATTGTCAGTTTTTTTACAGCACGTTCTCTTTATCTTGTCACTTGGTTATTATACATTTATCATTATAGCGTTCCAATAGCGATCGGTAGTTTTAATTCGATGTCTCTCACAAAAGTAAATTCAGTGTGTTCGTTGATTACGTTTGTACTTTTAGCTGATTTTGCCTTTGTTGAAGGATTAGATCCTGGTAAGAACTGTTTAATCGTCATCTATAATATTAAAACGTGACCGGGTTTTTTTATTTCACGATTCTGAATCAAACACTTGACGGATTATCATGGTTTTGGTGTTGAAAGAATAGTTATTTGTGTAACTAGTGGTGAAAGTGGCACTTTGCTGCACACGAGAGCAATGTTTACGCACGAGCCGCAGGCGAGTGCGGAATGATCTCGAGTGCAGCAAAGGCCTTTTTCACTCGTGTTACACATTATATTTTTCCTACAGTCACTATAAAGCATATAAATAATTAGTATTTCAAACACTATACAACACGTTTTTAGGTTCAGCTGGCAACACAAATGGTACCCTAGAGAAAGTAGTACCCGAGGTCCGTATCACTCCGCTATTTTTCCTCGGCAAGAAATGTGCTCCGCGTTTTGAGAATATAGTTCCGTATGTTTTTGTAATTTGAAGTGGTTTCCGCGCCTAAAAAAATGCTTTAAAGGTATTTTCTTGTTCATTAAAATCGTAGGAATGTTTTTAAAAACGTGTAAAAGAAAAGTCCAGAAAGTTCAGAAATACCGAAACTATAAACACGAAATAAATGACAGGTTAAATCGTAGTTATAATAGTCAATCAGCTGCTCATATTATTATTATCTTTAAGTGTTGCCAACCTATTTCCAAGCGTACACGGATAACGAGCATAATAGAACTACGCTGTTTTGTGTTGTTTCGTTGGAATCCTGATGTGCGGCAAAGTATAAACCGTACGGCAAAGTATAAACCGTACGGCAAAGTATAAATATGCAGCAATTAGCAGCTTTCTGTACTATAAACAGTACAAGGAAGCCAACTTTGTCGGGTGACTGTAGGAAAAGATAATTTTCAAAACCAGGAAATGTCGAAAGGGTTTCAGTTTTTTTAGAAATTAAGTTGTAATTTTAAAAAAGTCTAGGAGCCAACGCTAACATTGTAGACTAGCTTTTGGTATAATACCATTTGCCTAACGTAACAGCTGTAAACATTCTGCTTTTGTGGCACAAATTCAGCATTTGGATAAAAATGAAATGTCATACGTCTAGGGTTGACTTATTTATATTATGTGTAATGCTATAATAATTGATACATTAATTTATTCGCTGAGGGGACGACGGATTATTTAAATACACATTCTAAAATACTTGACAATGTAATTTATTTTCTTGAGCGGTCTTTGAAATCTTGGTTTTGTTTAAGTGCAATATACTTGGTTTGAACTAAGAGCTGGATGGATATAAAAATATTATATAGAACTATGAGGTTATTTTATTTAGTCCATGATTGTCATTGATTATAGGAAATAACTAAGTAAGCAGAGATAAGTAGACCACAAAGTTAAGCAAGACCATTGCTGTATACAAATCAAAACTCTGCCTACGAGTCTTCAAAGAAAAGTCTATGTAAATTATTTTACTGCAATACTTTTTGAGGAAAGTGCAGGAAAATAACAATTTTTACATGCAATACATCTTGGCAGCTCATCAAACAATGAGATCAAGGATGATCAGGAATCACAATTTTAAATTACTACCACGACCTCTGACTAGTTGTATCCAGAGATAAACAGAAGGGGAGTTAAACACTATGTTATAATTGGCCAAGCATACTACAAGAAGTAGACTTACTATCCTTTCGTAAAATCTAAAACGTCGTTTAGTGTGTGTTCATGTGTGTTACGTTTGGATGCGCTGATGTAGGCAAAATATCACTTTTATTTCAACTAAATATCGTATGGTTTGAATAAATGAATATAGGAAATTAGGATGTACATAGATTCAACGATGGTGGATGATTATCACAGATATTAGAACGGATAACGGTATCAATAATAAACATAGAAAAATCACTAACTACTAATAATTACGTCTTTAGCTTACTAGTATGTTTACTTTTTTAAATTCCTTCTACAAGGTGACAAGTTTTGTTTTCAAATTAATGTTATTTTAACTAAACAGCTATTTCAAAACAAACTATGTATCTGTTATTTTTTTTACTTTTCTTTATAGCCAGTTTTAACCGACTACTTGATTCCCATACGTAGGACGGGCCAAAAGCTAGTTTCAGTTAAAATTCTTAAATCATAAACAGACAAATATTTAAAGTAATAATTATAAACACTAAATAAATAATAATTGCACCGTTTTACAACTGGCTTTTATTATTTGTTTCAATATTTTTGTTTGGAAAATGATAAGTCTTTGCCTATCAAAAAACTGACAGAATAGGGACTAGCTTAGAATTTGAGAGATATTCTTTTGGTTTTTATTTATGGTTGAAATACTAAGTAGGATGTCTTGGCGAGTGCAATGTTTTTAATTAATATTAGAATTTTAATTAGGTGCTATAATTTATTAATACCTTAAACAATATTGAACACGAGTTGGTGGTGTGTGAATCAATGTCAGTTAGCTCTTGGGTTCGAGACCTGATTCTATCACTTAATATTTATAAACTGGTGCACCTGTTGATCGAATTCGAGCAATTGCAAAGTATTACAGGGGTAATTTTCAAAACGAATAACAGTCATAACTCCGATGACTTAAAAGAGTCTCAAAGATTCACTCTCTCCAGTTATCGAAACTGAAAACGAACTCACTCTGAAAACGAACGCTCTTGTGTGTATCATGTGTTTACTATGAACAGCTGTAATTAATACAAATTATTCGTCTGTTTAAGTAAACAAAATCCTTTCATCATAAGAAATACATTGGGATTTTGATGAACAAAATCCGTCCATTATTAACGGAGGAGTAGTGTTTCGTAGAAATCGCCTTCACGTATTATGTATAAGGATACGGCTCATTCCAATACTAAACCGACTCACTTCTTGCTTCGCAAAATACTTTAACCAGCACCTGAGGTCCATGTTGCTGGTTCAAGGTTGATTGGTTTAAAGAGACAACCAAACTCTAAAAAGTGAATTTCAGTATTTCTGCTTTTTGTAATGCAAAACTTCACTTGGCTGTAAGTTTTTTTTTGCATGACAGATCTGCCACCCTAAAGATGTGTAAGGACACGATTTTACGTTCGTCATCTTAATTGTCACTTTTTTATTTTAGCTTTAAGATAACGCAGGTAAGTTTGTCACCACTATTGTGCCAAAACTAGCTGAATGTAATGAAAATGTGTATTATTTTAACAGAATTTTAAACAACCAACAACAGATTATTTAACAGGATCATCTAAAAGAAGAGTAGATTTTTTATACAATTGGATAATATACTGATAAATGACGGTAAATAAATAATTGATGTTGTCTTGTAACCTTTTATATCTTCAACAGTTGCACTTGCACACAAATGGGCTCCCAAAATTTATCTCAACTCCAAAGAGGAATATTGGCCAGGAGATGTTGAAGTATTTTTGAAGCATGTCCAGGTAAAGGGTAAAGATTGCCCGAAGACTTCAGAAATTCCTACAGGGCCCGATTCTCAGAAGTGCTTCCTCACAACTAACGGCGATCCCAGTAAGTTATTTTTGATACAGTATAATTTTCATCAAATTGTTACTCCTCAATTTATTTATTGTCAATAGTTTGTAGTTTTTTATATGTTTTAACAAATTTTGTTGTAAGCTCATTGCATTTTTAAGTGTGTGTAAATAGTCCACTCTTATCCACACTGCTACCCAGCTTCTCATTACTTAATTTTATTTAAATTTTATCAAGAGTCAAAAAGAGAGATTGTTTTTACTTTCTCCCCCTCTACCATAGTATTTGGAGAAAGTATTGTTTTCGTAAAAATTTTCGAGTTTGAGCTTTGAGTGGATATATTCGTTTTGGGTCCCCCTGGACCTGGTTTTCGAAGTGATGTCTGTGTGTGTGTGTGTGTGTGTGTGTGTGTTGGTGTGTGTGTCTGGATGTGTACAGAGCTATGGACTACACGTGTGGTCCGATTTCGATGAAATTTTGTATGTAGGTTCTACTCCGTGGTATCTCCAGGCGTTTTTTCCATTTTTTTGAAATTTTAATTTTTAATGGGGATTTTCTCATAAAAACCCATAAAAACCGGAAAAATCGGATTTTCTCAAAAATGGCCCGAACGATTTTGACAAAAATGTTGTATGTTGTAGCCCTTTAAATTCTGAACAAAATGGTACAAATCCCATTTCTGTAAAAATTTCGGTTCGAAAGTTATTGTAAATTATGTTATTTCCCATAAAAACCCCATAAAATAACCAAAAATAGAATATTAGAAAAAATCCGGTTTTAATTTAACATAGTATGTTATGGTCCTTACAATTTTGATAGTTTTTTTATTTTTTAGAAATTTTGATTTTTAAAGGGGATTTTCCCATAAAACCCCATAAAATAACGGAAAAATTGGATTTTCTCAAAAATGGCCTGAACGATTTTGATTAAAATTTAGTAAGTTATAGTCCTTTATATTCTGAACAAAATTGTACAAATCCCATTTCCGTATATTTACTCTCACCACTTACACATGATAAAGGTCGTTGACAAACTTATGGGAGAAAGTATGTGTCAGAATGCTTATACCGTTTATTTTAATTTCAGATGATCTAATCAAGGAAAACGACTCCTACCTTCTTGGGGTAAAGCCGGGGTCTCGTAAATGGCAGTTGGACCCGGTTCCTGCTTACGTGAACGTCAAGTCGTGTGGGAACGGTCGTATGATTATCTCCTTCTGGATCTTCTTCCCCTTCAACAAAGGAAAGCAAATGTGCAAGCTTGAAGACGGGTGTGGAACCGTCCAGACTGTGGTTGGCAACCACGTAGGGGACTTTGAACATCTCAGTTTAGAAATGCAGGTTGGTTGAAAACTCGGGAAGAAGGGAATAATAAAACATGTGGCTTTTACAGGATACCAAGTGCGAATTTAGGGTGGTTTGAGGCTAAGTTTGGAGTTGAATAAGGAATTGTCTTTGGTCGTATATGTCTCTTATGGTAAAAATCATGCCTATTCAATATAGGGCTTTCATCAGTTCATGGTGGTGATGCCGTGGGATCCTCTATAGCTTCAAACATTTTATCAGTATAGCCTATTCTTATGATGTTACGTCACATATTTAGCTGTAGGTACTTGACATGATCCACCGAAAGGCCTAAGACACACTTGGACAGGCAAATTCAAAGTTCCAAAAAGTCACAAGCCGTAAAAAAATATTTATTATAATTGTTACGGTGTTACGGAATTCAAAGGAGGGAGTCCTTATGACGGAATGTCTCCCCTATAATCTTCTATTAATTAAGATAACCCCATTGATATCTAGATAAGTTGCTCTACAGAACAACATTCAAACCCCCGGCACGAGGTAATATCGCATATTTTAAAGGCATTGAAGTGAATATACTGTTTTTAAGCCAAGGTTCCTAGGTTGAGAGTCCCGTGTTCTAACACACCGTTTATTAGCGCTTCCAGTTCAACATTGAAATCATAAGAGATCATTTCTAATTCTCAAGTGTCAAGCACCTAATATGTATTATGGTTTTTTTAAGATTTGTATTTTACTTAGCTTTCAACAAAATCATTTTCCAGGGAGAACTGCCGGTGTCACTTTTCCTGGCAGTCCATGATGGTGGAATTTTCTATGACTACGATAAAGGAAGTAACACCTTTACACTGTCTTCCCAACTCAAGAATGGCATCCTCAAGGTTCCAGACCCTCCCCAGACTATCCAGCTTGTGGACACTCATCCTGTCCTCTATTGCGCCTTGGGATCTCATGCGGTCTGGAGTGCTCCAGGTTAGATATTTTTGTAGGCTCAAATATATGTTCACTTATATTTATGTAGGGTTCGGTAAAGTAAAGAAAAATATTGGACGATTTTTCTTTGAAATCACTGAATATAGCTTTGAAATTTCTACTTTAGGTTGGTAATTTATATGAGAAATATTATATGTTTTTTTTTATTGGTGGTTTGAATAGCATAATTATGAATCATGTATATCATATCTTCAACCAAGTAAGTTAAATTGCATTTCACTTACTTTTTGTATCTTGTATATATTACAATACTGAGCAAAGACAGAGAACTTGTACAAAAAAATGGAGTATTTAAATCGGTGACAAGGAAGCATAACAATTTTGCAAACCTATGCAGAAAACATAAGTTGCAACGGGTTGCATGGATGCAATGAGAAAACTTGCAATGTTTACATTTGCTTTGACATACTGTACCAATGTAAACAATCAGAACTGTCAAATCTATTTTCTTTTCAATACTTCACAGCTGGCTTAAGCAAATAAAATTATAATACTCAGTAAAATCATGAAGTAGTTTTGTCTTTGACTATTGATTTCAATGTTTTTTTTTTATTTTGGACATTGATTAAGGAATTAACCAAGTTTTTATAGACATTTTTTTATTAATACAGGCTCTGTCTTTGGGTTTTCCAAATTAACATCACGTGAAATGATATTGTTACAAAGAGTAGGACAATTTTGAGATCTACATAATTAAAATAACTTTGATAATTTTTGTGTTCAGTTTGAAATAACTTAACATGAGCTGGTACTAAGGGGAGACGGACAACGGACCAGGGCTAATCCCCTGATTTATGGCCTGAGGGTCACCGGAGGAGGGGTGTGGAATCGAGAATTCGGAATCCCACCCGAGGCGTTATCCTTTTGTCAAAGATTTCGTTTAGAATGCCATTACTTCTTAACTTTACATCTTTTGTTGGAATTTATAATTTTATTTTCAGAACTATTTTTCGATTAGGAAACCTTTATTAGATTTTTTCATTATCAGCAAGTTTGGTTGGTTTGGTTAGGTTATGATAGTTAAATCTTATCATAATTAAAACATTTAAAAAAATAATTTAAGGCATTTGTAATTTTATTTTATGAACAGAACTATTTTTATTAGTAAACCTTCGTTCGATTTTTATTATCAGCAAGTTTGGTTAGTTTGGTTAGGTTATGATAGTTTAATTAAATTTAATTAAAATTTAACCTACAAACGATACGTTTTGACAGCGACGGTAATAGAGCTAACGATTTGCCGCGAACAGTTCGGCTATGCACGGTATGATGCGGAAGCGTTCGACACCAACCTAGAACTGACAGGGCAACCGACCGTGATTAAGAGGATTACAGCCTCGGTCAAGTGCCTACACCCGGTACTAAGTCATAAAACATAGGTATTTTTTCATCTAAATAAAGAACGTAATGGACTTTTTTTTAAATTTTAGGTGATATTGTTTTCACCATTCACTTTACTATACTATTTCGTAATTATGATTTATTTTTAACTACCTATGCTATAAACCCTGATGGCTTTCACTCAGAGATAGCTGCTATATAATCCTCTAAATGAGTTTGGATTCTGAAACTAATAGGATGGAGTCTAAAAAGGCACAAGCATAACTGCAATAAAGAAAGCTACACTTATTTATACACCAACCCCGTACAAAGGACGGATACTCTGCTATTTATTAATAAAACATTGATTTTGTAGGAACATTCTCGTTCAGCCGCGTAGAGTTGGATCAGTTAGTGGACGAGACAGATCAAGGGCGAGAATGGAACACATGGGAAGCTCTCAAGGTACTATCACTTACCATATGGATTAAATATTAGCCTACAATTCTATTAAAATAATAATTATATATTTAAATGTGAGATAATAGTATTACGTTGAAAAGGAGCATCAGTGTCTAAATCCTCCTTCTTAAACTAATGATGGATATAGTTAGGACTTCTCTACTTTGGATTAACGAGGGGTTTTTAATTTTTCAAAATACATAAAAGCGTAGGGATTCCTTTTTTTTCGGAATCACTCATCACTGCCTGAGTCACAATCAATGAAGTGCATCGTAAAGGCTACTGATAAAATTTAAGATTGTAAAGAATGGTAATGTTTTACATCCTGAATTTGGTTGGAAGATTTGCCCCACTAATTATGTGTAAACCCTGTTTTACTATACGTCCATATTGTTAATTGTTATAATAGTTTACGCAACGATCGCGTAAGGATAGTCTTTACGACACGAGTAGAAAATCTAAGGTACGAGTCTTGGTGAGTGCATTTAAAACGTCTACGAGCTTTAGATTATGCTAAATACTCTAGATGCGTACACTACTTTAGCTATCACCGTTTCTTAATTACGAAAAATCACTACTCAAAGCTTCCAAGAAAGGTATTTCGTTTATAACCTCTCATTGCCACTGACTGTTCCAACCACTTACTATTGTTTAAACAATTAAATCTATATAATTAATACGCTACATGAAACTTTGTCGGTTGAACTCCTCCGCCATTTCTTAACCGATTTTATCCATTGACGTCTCATTGGAAAGAGCGTGTCGCGTAGATTTGCAAACTGGCCTTACATTTTTGAAAAAGTCCCTTGGGCTCTGCCCCAGTGGCTTTGAAAGTTCCCATGTTACCCTTATGAAGAACATAATTGTTTACATTTTGATCAGCTGTATAATTTTAATCGTTGTTATTTATTTTTCAATTCAAAGTCTTATAAACTCATCTCAAATTATGATGACTTTTATTTGTTTTTAAATAACTACTTTACTTCTTTGCAATTGCTCGATTTCGAGCAACGTGTTTACTAGTTAGTCTTAACAGCTGATAAGTTGACGTTCAAAGTGTTATACTTCTTTCCTCTCAATTCTTGAACCTCGTTGTTCCAAACTTGTACTGTAAAGAATGTAAAGTAACAAAACAATACTTTAAAGTAAGTAAACAATACCGTAAAATGAATATTTTTCAATTCTAAGAACTGAATTGAAAAGGCTAATTTAATTAACTAACTAGGTAAATGTTTTTTAAGTTCTGCCGCAAGTTTTCCTAAAACTCAGACACTTGTGATAGTATCAAGGCCACTGAGGACGGGGTCCAATTGTATACTTAACTTGTTCTGCACCTTCTGTTCCTATGTAGTATTCTCGTTTGTTGTTATCGTTGATGTTTGTACTTAACTCGTACTGTATTTTCTGTTGTTATGCAGTATCCTGTTATGTTTTCAGGTGTTCTACTCCAAGGAAACGACCCCAGCCTGGTGGTATTATGAGGGCCGATGGGGCAACCAAGCTTCCCAGTGCATACTTAGGTTGTACTGCCTTTTCTCTGCTGGGCCTAGAGGCCTTTCGACTAGGTCTGAGGAATACACATGTTAGAAAACAACGTTGATTAAATAAAACATACAATTATAGATGTATTTATTCTGCTTAAGAGCCCCTCCGAAATTAAACATCACATTTGAGAATGGCCGGGATGTTTAACTGACTGATTTCTATTTTACATAGAATCACTTTCATGAAATGAATTTTTCCGCACTCCTTTGCTTAGGTACCTAGTTCCTATCAGTAGCCTACCTTTACCAATCGTCTCCACATGCATTAGCCATCCTAGTTTGCCACCTTTAAAACATTTTACAACTTAGATATATCTAGAAAAATAGCCTGACGTAGTTCCTAGCAAATTCCCGACTTCCGGTTGGACCCCTCTAGTTCCGGCCAGACTCCGCCCCCATTAGGGTGATAAGTGAAGGTGTTTTTATTGTTTGGTTTGTAGGGGCAAGATTTATTGCGTCTTTTAGCAATCCGGCGCAAGATTAGGGAAGGTCACGTGATTATGATGCTGATTGACTCAGTCTCTATGTCTGTAGTATTTAAACATCTAATGAGAGTTTACCTCGGGTTCACATGTCAATGTGTAAGATATTTTATATGCCTATTTCAATTTGTTATTTTGTGTTCTAGCTGTTTTAAAACATTTCCAATAATAGTTGGACATGAATATGCTTGTCTTACGATATGAGTTTATTTGGATAAACAGTGTTGTTCTGTGTTTGTCTATATTCTTTCACATTGGACTTTCCACTCCATATAGATCTCAGGACTTTTTGTAGAACAGAATATATATATATATAGCCTATATATACAATTGTTTGGATAAAGGGCTACTATTATAAATAATAAAGAAATCATACTAACTCAGTACCCTGAAATTATTTTTATTTTTAAAACTACATGTTTCGACCTTTAGGCCATTTACAAGAGTAACATTTAACCTCACTTTAAACACAACAAATTAATTAACAAATTAACATCATGTGATGATCTTGACATATGATTTTTCTTTTTTTCTTAAAATGTATAGTAAAATAATCTTTGGTCATGGAATTTTGTCATATATATATAACATTTTTTTATGGTTGTTTAATTTATCCTCCTTTTGATGTTTGTGTTAAATATTCTTTAATTTTAAAATTTTTTTCATATATAGGATTTTGTTTCTTAACTTGCATTGTATTGATTATATTTGTTGGATCATTTCTGTAGCTGCAGTATATATGATATTCTTCTTTTGTATCTAATTTATTTCCTTTTGATCCATAGTCCAAAATTGTCATATCTGTTTCTATTTTAGTGAATTTATGATTCTCATTAAGCATGTGTTCTGCTACATTACTTTGATCTAAACGCTTGTACATGTTCTTTATATCTACAATTGAACGACCTTCCTGTCTGCCCAATGTAATACTTTTCACAATCTGAAAATTTAATTTTGTAAATACCAGAGTTTTCATATTTTGATATATATATAATCATGGCACTTAAAAATCCCCCAATACAAAACAGGTTGGTTGCCTTAACAAAACAAACCCTCACCTCCACCCTTTTACTGCCAAGACTTGACAGTTATTAAGAAACAAACCCTAGCGAGGGATGCGCTGATGTCCGTCTGCAGGGCTTGATTAGTTTGATTGATTCTCCCCATATTCCACCCCACCCCTCGATAAAGTTTGTCCCTTCATGTGTTTCGACACTTCCTGCCACACGGACTCATCACTTACCCTAACCACACTCTCTCCCCGTCACTCTATCACACTCGTGCTTCCACAATACACTTCTGTCCATCCGGAAATGCATCAGGACAGTTGACTAGAGTTAAAAATCTCACAAATACTGTAAGAGACTAAAGCTATAAACAGTCTTCTAGTTGTAGTATGGAATTGAAAGAAAAATGGAATTAAAACCTTTTCGCTGCTAAGCCATTCTTTTTTTGTGCGAAGTCAATTAATTGAAATCCTAATCATTAAAGACAGCTGGGCCAAGTTTCAAAAACATTGAAACTAACAGAATTTTATCAGGATTGAATCGGCAACGTTTACCAGGAAATATCTTTTCTGAACAATATCTAGAGTAACATAAGTTAGAGTAAAATTCACTAACAAACACTCCGCAAATTCCATCGTAGATTGACACGTGTAGCATTCCCTGCTAAGTTATGTAACATTGTCTGTCAGCAACAAGTGTGTGTGCGTGACACATATTGTGCCTTCATCTTGTTTCAGATGTATTGTTGGTTTATACTACTTGCTTAGAATGATTGCTTTGTTAGGTATTAGCTCTAATGAAACACATTTACAAAGATATTTCTTAGAGTTGGTTTGATGATCCTTAGCATATCTTGATGTTTCTTACTTGTTGTTTCTTATCTAAACTGAAAAAGGAAAGACGACAAAACTCTATCAAACGGTTTTTGAACTGATATAATATGATTACATTTCTAAACTGTGTTAGTTATGATCTAAACATTTGGCTGTATACTGTGGATTTTTCATAATAAAACCAAACAAGCTTCAATACGAATGCAAAATTATTTCAGTGAATATATGCTGGTTTTTTTAAACAAACCAAAAAGTCAAGTTACAGGAATAAAACCAAAAGTAAAAATTAATCAAAAGCCATTGACACGTTTTTAACCACCACCAACTGATAACACACGTCCAACATATCAATGAAAATGCACAACAATTAAAAACAAAGTTCCACATGACATTTTAAGTGGCATTATTAGCACAGTACTCATAAACCAATTTAAAATAACATAACATTTTCTAAAAGCAAGCTACAACTAATTAATAAAGTTGAACAAGATCTATCAACTTCTTTCATTAATAAATTTAATGTGAGATAACTATAAAATTAAGTACAATTTTACTTGAAATATTGATACTTTCTATACGCCGTTTGTTAAAACACAATCAAGCAAATCAACAACTGAAATCTATGTGTTTGTCCATCCAAGCATTAAATCTAGTCAAATACACACGTCAGAACCTACTCGACGATACATGTATCAGATACAAACGTGTTCAGTTCAAAGCTGTCACACACAGCTGAGTTTTCTGTCTGGCAACACGGTTAGATCTCTTTCATTTTAGAGATCTCTAAATATGTTTTAGATACAAAGAAAGGATATTCGACCCCTTTATATAAAACAAACCAGAGTTGATATTTATTTATCCTTTTTAGATGTCAACTTCTCTGTGATCATACACAGTTGAGTTTTCTGTCGGGGGAAGAAGTGCCAGTCTTTAATACCCTTGCAGTTCAGTATATTACAGAATCTACACGAAGAGATCACAGGATAATAAAACACGTTAAAAAACAAATACTCCTTGAAATGTGTACTACTATTTTTCTCTCATATACAGTTGGAGTTATTGTCTTTTGAGGCAGTTTTCATCACTCTCATTCCTATACATATATTCTAAGGGAAATTTATATGTAATTAATACATAAATATAATTAGACAATATTTACTTAGTAATAAAATACTGACTGTTGAAACATGTAGATTTATTTCTCGATAAGTAAGTAAAAGCTAAAACACTATTAATCAGAGAGCCATTACTTTATAACACACACTTTTAGTATTCAATTTGAACTCACTTTAACACAACAATGAACAATAAAACAATAACTCACAATGTTAACAACAAAAAATGCACTCCATAGAGTGTTTATTAACAGCTGTTTAAAATGGATTGTTCAACTGAATGACAACTTTTAACACTTATATTATTTTGAAAATGTTTGTAAAAGTACAGTAAGAATTTTAGAAAACATAAATATTGGTTTTTTTGTTTCTTTTACATCAGGCCTATATTCCAAGAGTCTAACTAAAATAAGTTTAATATATTATTGACAGCTAAGGCCAAGTTAGTGCCTTCCCTTTATGATGTTCGCATAATCTCTGAATAAATTATCTTTATTGCAAAATTCTCTCCTAATTTCATCATAATTTTTCTTCAGATATAGCTTCTACACTCAAAACCATATTGTATTGAAACGAACTATAACAAATTTGTGTTAATATTGCTTTACGTCTGAGTTTATACCTAACAAATCAATAATTCTAAACCAGTAGTATATACCGACAATAGATCTGACACAAGATGAAGGCACGTGTCACTCACACTTACTTGTTGCTGACAGACAGACAGACAATGTTACACAACTTAGTATGGTAGACTACCCGTGTCAATCCACAATGACAACTGTGGCATGTTTGTGGGTGAATGTTACAATTGGATAACTTATTCATTGAATTGCTCAAACGAACATTTCCTCTGTGGCCTGTTTAGTAAAATATATCTTTTAGTTTCATTTTTGAGGTGTTGCCTTCCGGATTACTTAACAATATTATTCTAGAGGTTAAATACCTTATTGTTGCCCAAAAATGATAAGTTTAATAAATCTTAAAGTCAAGTTTTACTGTGCAGAAACCTATCTTAACATCTTCAACTTACCGGTATCCATATGGATCTTCAATGGAGGGTGTTCAAGTTTAATTCGTGTTGAAGATTAAAACATGTGTTATTTCAAAACTATTTCAAGACTTTATGTCGACCTCCTAGGAGCGAAAACACGTCTTTAAGGCTTGACAATGACACCATGAGTGTCGAAACCGGTCGCCATCCAGACGACAGAGGATTACAGTTGCAACAATAAGGTATTTAACCTCTAGAATACGATCTGATTTACGATCTGAACTTAAAAGGGAAAGTTTCAATTTCTCCTAAAGATGACCATCAGAGAATCGCTTATCGTTAGCGATTCGTAAGATAAAAACATGCCTGTTTATTGGATTTATTGTTTGGAAGGTTGGTTAGAAAATGATCCTCGTCAATATGATCAATCCATTTTGTCCTGCGTTTGTGATACCAGTAAGATGAACCGTGCCCAACTGTCCTGATGCATTTCCGGATGGACAGAAGTGTATTGTGAAAGCACGAGTGTGATAGAGTGACGCGGAGGGAGTGTGGTTAGGGTAAGTGATGAGTCCGTGTGGCAGGAAGTGTCGAAACACATGAAGGGACAAACTTTATCTAGGGGCGGGGTGGAATATGGGGAGAATCAATCAA